GTTAACAAATTAATGTTATTCCATTTCTCATATTATCATGTGACTAGCTGTCTCTGGCATGCGTTGTCCAGGATTGAAATAGCAGGGGTGGTAAAGGTCAGACTTGAAAAGTACACTTCTACCCCGATATAATGCTGTCCTCAGGAGCCAAAAAATCGCATTATAGGTGAAACCGCATTATATCAAACTTGCTTTGATCCACTGGAGTGCGCAGCCCCGCCACCTTGGAGCGCTGCTTTACCGCGTTATATCCGAATTCATGTTATATTGGGGTAGAGGTGTAGTAAGCTCTATCAGGATCCTAGCACTGGGCTAAAGGATGTCGCATGTTAGTACTGAGTAGTAGTATTAGCAGAGCTCTTGCAGTTGGGAAGGAGGAATTCTTGAGGAGCACCTATCTGTTCTATAGCCAGTCTAGCCATAGGTCTCACTTTCATGAGAGTCAAAGTTCATCCGAACTACTCCACAAAGAAAAAGTGTGTGTGGAATTTGGGGAACATGCTTGCCAGCCTGGAACCTGTTCTCCAGTTCCAAGTTATCTGTCCTGTGTCTGAGGTCTGGGAGCGCAGGGGTAATGGATTTGGCTTGTAGAACCTTGCTGACTTAATGTAGATAGATGCGTCATTTTACGGGGATGGACTTGCTGAAATGCGCTGTTAGGGTTTGTACCCTTCCGTCTAGTGATCAGAATGTTCCCAACAGTGGGCATGTCCCATCTCCAATTAGCAACCTGTTTTTTAGATAACTATATGTGTTTGTCTATAGTTATTTCTCTCTTTAAATTCTAGTGGCGCGGCCTGCTCAGAATGTGCCTGCAGCATCTAATCTACTGAAGACAGCCAGAATCACCCCGCCTGCAACAAAATCAGTCTCCATTCAGGTTAGGAGAACTTGAGCAGATTATACAGGAGCTGAGAAATTTCACTGGCCTGTGATTTGCTTTAGTCTTGGACTGATTTAATGCTGTTAGGTCAAGGGACCAGTGAACTAAGATCTAAGTCACAAACTACCAAAATTAGAATGATATGCTATGTAATTTTGGGAAGCTGGAGCTCTGACATGGGTTGGAGTCTGATGTAATAAACAGAGCTAATGCTTTGTGCTGTGTGGAAATGTGGAATCACGACTTTTTATCAGCAGTGAGATGTAATTCTTTGAAAATTCTGCGCTGCTTTGACTATGTAACAATATTAGAAAATATAGTGAAAGGGGTAACTCCAAGTGGTGCATAAAGATTTAGCCATAATTTCCAACAGCTTTAATATGTTCAGTGTGGTTAAATCTCTGCAGCATTGTTTAAATGCTTAGATATCATTTTCAGTTTATTGTTTAGGTGAACATTTGTGTTTGTGAGAGTTGTTCCATAGGACAGTTTATGCATCTTAAATGACTTTATATACAAACCATTTCTAGCAGCAGATGTTGGTTGGTAATAAAGATTTTAATTTTGATAAGTTTACATTCTCAACACCTGGCTTTCTAGGGAAAGTCAGCATTGTCCAGCACTGGGTTAGAGAAACAGGTCCATCAGTGGAAGGATTCGGACCCTGTCATAGCAGGAATCAAAGAGGAGGTGAGATTTTCAAGGATTTTTGTCTTCCAACTTCTAAGATGATCACTGTACAGGCATGTGGTCATCTGTCACTCTTTCATATTCCATTAGTGTCCTTCAGTACTTAGTTACCATGGGAGATCTTTCCATTGTACTCTGAACCACTTCTTTAAACACTGTCGCCCCTGTTTGGCTGCTTAAACTGCTAGCATTAAAGTTATGTTGGGAATATAGGGCTCTCTTCCTTGCCTTTGTCTGTAAATTATCATGTACACATGGCTGTATAAATATATTAGCCAGCCCCAGAGCAGTGACATTTGTTCCAGAAGCTGTCATGTCACAGTGGTTGAACTTTCTTTACCATCTGGCTCTGTAGATTGCACATTTCCAAAAGGAGATGGAAGAGCTGAAAGCCAGAACTTCTAATGCCTGTTTCCAAGTTGGCTCTGCCGAGGAGATGAAGAAGCTGCGGACAGAGTCTCATGACCTTCAGACCTTTCTCTTGGAGATTAAAGAGACAACAGAGGTAAGTAGCACAGCAGAACTTCTCCCACATGTTTGCGCATTGGTTGAGACCTTCAAGGCTAGCATTTCGGGATAGGCATCTTTGCTTAACCTGTTAAGTGCTGAACAATATAGCTGAGATGTCTGGATGTGCTGCTTCAGTATGCGTGGGCATACCCAGTTGTTCCTGAAAGTAAACACTTTTTTGCTGAAACCCACGTACATACTGATGCAAACGGCACTGTCAAGGTCTTTTGTTGAAATCTGGCTCATCTCTTCTTCTGTTCACAGTCCCTTCATGGAGATATCAGCATTCTGAAGACAACCCTGCTGGAGGGCTTTGCTGGGGTGGAAGATGCTAGAGAACAAAACGAGAGAAATCATAACTTGGGATATTTACATCTGCTGTATAAGAAACCATTGGACCCCAAAAGTGAAGCACAGCTTCAGGTATAAAGCCTGCTCGCTAACTTTAAACTGGAGTTTTAAAATAAAATGCAACTATTGAGGCTTGAATGTAGGTTGCCCAGAAGCTTTGCCCTGCCACACTCACATTGCTTCAGCACCGTGTAACAACAGTATGATTTCATAGTGTCTTTCAAAGATCTCAAAGTACTTTGCAGACATTACACCCCTAAAACTGCTATTTGGTAGGTATTGTCCCCATTTTAAATGGGGGGAACCAGAGACATACAGAAGTGAAGTGACCTGCCCAAGATCAGAGTCATTGGCAGAGCTGCAAATACGGCTCCTGACTCCCAGTACCCTAGTCTAACCAATGAAGTTAACTTAAGTGAATTTTTTTTGGCCAGTGCCAGTTAATTTTTTTTTTCGCACTTCATAAAATGATCTTTTCAGAATTATTTTTATCATTAGCAAATGCTTTGCAGAGCAATTTGATGATTTATAATGGCTTACAATATTGTGGTTAATTTCATGGATGGCAGAGCATAAAACTAAAGGGTGTTCTAAATGCCTGATTGCAATGGAAAATTTCCCAAAATACTCAAAAGGCTTTGAAAGAAATCAGGATAAAGTACATTCTCCCTTTCTCTCCTCCTCCTCCTCCCCCCCACGGCCGGCCGGCAATGTTGAAAGGTACTATGACAGATATGGCAATTGCCTGAAGTATCTTTGGGATATTTTACTGTATTAAGTTATTGTATCATTGTGGGCCAGGGATTATATGTTCTACCATGGGGAATGGTAACCACAGCTGTCCAGCAACTAAAAACTGTGTGTGTGTGTTGGGGGGGTGATTAGGCAAATTCATTCTGATTGTAGCACCTCTAGAGAGATGATACCACCTGGAGAGGCTAGCATATACTGGTTTAAACTGGATTATCCAGAGGCTAACCGACAAAGAAAGGACTTTTGCATAAATAGCCTGAGGTTTAAATTGATTCAATGCCTGCTTTCTGGTCCAGCAAATGAACAGAACCTACTCTTCAAGTTGGGCCTCAATCCTTCCTGGGAAGGGCTGCAAGAATTTTTGCCTATGGAGGTCCCGTAAGACTGATAGGTGACCTCTGATAAGCTTTCTAGCATGCATATAGGAACTTCTATAGTTTTCAGTAATGCTTTCTCTGTAATGCTTTCATTGTAAGAATAATTATGCTTGCTTAGAAAGAGCTGTGTGTTAACTTATAACTGGAGGCAGTTACCTTGTTCATAGCCTTTGGAGAGAAAGCAAAGTGCAGATGCAGGCCTCTGTAGGCAGTCTGGCTTGCTGGGGTGTGCAGCCTGGAAAAACCCCAGTCGGGAGGGGGAGCGACGCATGTCTCCACGCAAGAGAGGTGATGGCTTATTGCTGGAAACCTAAGAGTGGGTGCCCTTACTGGGCCATGGTGGGGGACCACAGGTACAGTTGCCCTAAACTATGACAAGTACATCAGGGAAAGTAAAGTAAGCGTGCCCTATAATTGTGACACTTATCTAGTTCTTGGTTCCCTATAGACAAAGCATGCTCATCTCAGGGAGTCTTACTAGGCAGTTGAGGGTACCTTTTGTGTTATAGTAATTAAAAATGGTTTTGTGCTACTAAAAATTAATGGTATGACAGTTAACGTCACATCAGAGTGCACCACTTTGCATGCAATTTCAGATTTCTATTAAAGGGAAAATATCTACCTTCCTAATTCACAGTATTGCATGTTTGTATGTAGTCCTTATATAAAGAGACCCATTTTGATTTTGGTATAGTGTTCATTGCTGACATGGGGCCTGTTGGAATCCCATCCAGGACCAGGAAAAGAATATGTTCCATAAATATATTTATTCATATATTGCTGTAGTGAAAAGAATAGCCACTTTTTCCTTCAGATTTTACTAAAATTCCCCTGGGTGCTGTAGATTATTTTACGGTCCAGCTTGCCTCGTTTCTCCATTTTGTGACTTTAAAGGTATGACAACCTGTTTTTTAAGAGCTGACTGCACAGACCTTGAAAAACAAACATGGGGAAGGATGGCAGAAGGGGGGAGAGAAGCAGAAAAATTGAGACAGGAGTAGGGACATAGGATTTTCAGCTAAACTTTCTGAAAGAGAGTCTGCTTCCCATCTTCTTGATACTTTTTGTCTGTGAAACTTTGCTTAGCCAGTTTCATTCTCACATCTCCTGGATGCAGAATGTTAGCATCAGAATATCCACTTGACCAACTTCTTATGAGCTTTTAACAGGGTTTTAAAGATCATGGGGTTTCTTTGACATTTGAACACATCAACTCACTCACCTGAGAGCAGTTGCTACATCAGTGCTCATAGTTACGGGACGGAGGAATTGTGCTTTTCAGTGTATAACCCTGGGTCAGCAGCAGCGCTGACTCAGTTTCATGTTGGCCTGGTCTGTCTTACTAGAGCCTTGTGCTAATCTTAAAACCAGTTACAATGGAATCCTGCCACAGGGATAGATTTTGGCATCCCACCTCATTTTGATATTTATATTTGAATGGGCACTCTTGAAATCAGTAAAACTAAACTTCCCATTCCATGCACCTCCACTGCCCAAAGGCAGCGTTCTACTAGGCATTTCCATGCTGTCATGTGAGAGAAGAATGAAGGCAGGGCGGAAGGGTAGTTTTACATTTGCGCACTGGACTGGGAGTCAAGATGTCTGGGTTCTGTTGCCAGATACACTAATGAACTCTGTGGCCTTGGGCAAGTCACTTTAATCTCCCTATGCCTCAGTGCTTTATCTGTAACGTGAAGATAGTACTTTCTGACCTGACATGGGTGTTGGGAGGAGAGGTTTTTAAGTGCTTGGGAAGTGCTCAGATCCTTGAGTGATTGGGGGGATGGGGGGACACATGAGTACCTAGATAACAGAACTTGAAGTTTTTGATCACTTTTTACCTTTAGAAACCAGCAATGTAAACCAGGGGCAAGCACATCATCAGTAGGAAATGGCTCTAGAAAAGTGAGGTTTGATCTGTGTAATACTTGGCATTTGTAACACACTTCATCTTGAACACTTTGCACTGGTAGAGAGCAGGAAGCTGAGGTACTGAAGTTGGCTTGCTCAAGGGCAGACATTAAGCTAGTGACAGATTTGATTAGTAAAACAGAGTTCCATTGTATAGGGTTCTGCCATTCTGATTTAAATTTGCTAGATGTGAATATGTAAGTGTCCCACGTGACTCTTATTTTGGTTCATTTACAGGGTCTTTAATTTACTTCATTGGATTTGAGATTCCCGTGAGAATTGAAAGATGACTTTTTTTTTTTTCTCTTCCCCTCCCTCCCCCCAATTTGGTAGGAAATTAGACGCTTACACCAGTATGTGAAGTTTGCTGTTCAAGACGTGAATGATGTTCTGGATTTGGAGTGGGACCGGCATCTGGAACAGAAAAAAACCCAAAAGTGAGTGATCGAAATTGGAATAGAAAATTAGTGTGTGTCGAAGGAGCACACTAATGAATTAGGAATAGGACATTAATAAATAGACAAAAGGCGTTTTATGCTTCCCACTCCAAAACTTTTTCAAAGAGTTTATGAACAACATTTGACTGAGCCATTTTTACCTGTATTAAAAGTTCAGACTGCAGACTATTGAACTGTGACTGACTTTGCTATATGCTTTCCAGCAAATTCTGTACGTGCTGTAAATTCCACTTTCCGAAATGCCTGTAAAATAGGCTTTGTATGCACTAAACAAATCCAGGGGAGACTGGTAATGAAGCCCTTTTGTTGAACAAGTACCTACATGTTAAAGGAATAAATTTACAGTGTACAACGAGAAATATACAACTGACCTGTGCCGCCTTGGTATTTAAACCACAATGTGGTTTGGGGAGGTGAAGTCCACTTAAGTCAGTAGCTGAAATAAACCAGTTTTCTGTGTGTGTGTGCACATGCACCTGCGGCTAGGTGTCTAGTGGTCTTCTCATCTTTTCCTTTTTCTTTTTTCTGATGTTACCAGGCGCCTGATTGTTCCTGAGCGAGAGACTTTGTTTAACACACTTGCTAATAATCGTGAAATAATTAATCAGCAGAGGAAGAGGCTGAATCACTTGGTGGACAGCCTGCAGCAGCTCCGCTTATATAATCAGACTTCTCAATGGAGTATGCCTAGTGACACGTCTTCTCTTAGCAGTTCTCAAAGGTATGTATAATAATTGGAGGTTGCAGCAGGAAGGGTATTGAGTTAAGTCTCTTCCCAATAGTAATGTTTGAAAGTGCATGTCCAAGACAGACTTAACAATCATGCTTTGTAGATATCATAACTGAGTGTAGGAGATGGGAAGGGAGGGGGAGATCCTCAAAAATGGGTACTGGTTGTAAATGTGCAAATTTTGTTCACGAATAACGCAAGTGCTCAAATTGGCTTGAAAATTAATTCTGTTGTATTTTGTGGTAGCTTGTTTTAATATATCCGTGTGTCTCTGTGAAAGATGGGCTTTCACAGTAATGAAAACATTGTGAAAATGTAGCCTCAAAAGTGATCTATCATTGTCATGTCTCGTGAAGATTACAATAGAATTTTAATTCAGGACAAGAGGGAATTTATTGGCCATTTGATTTTTTTTTTCCCATAAGTAACTTAAGGTCTTGGTGCATGCAGTTAAATGTTGCAACATCTAAAGAGGTTCTGGTGGCATTCAACAATGGCTGTTGTAAAAGTGTCATTGAGGCATATGCAGATGGTCAATCCTGTGTCCTTTAGCCCTTGGTGAATTGGGCAGCAAATTATGGTGTTTCCATGTGAGCCTGTGGTTCCTTCTCATTCCCATACAGCTGTTTCTGTGGGCAGTGATATGCAGTACCTGGTTTTTGTTTCACTACTGTCTTGTTTCAGCTTTGACAGTGACCTTGAGAGCCTGCGCAGTGCCTTGGTGAAAACTACCTTGGAATCGTATGCCAAGCCCCTGCCGAAAGCACCTGGTAACTCCATTGTTCTGTTTTTTTCCCCACCTGCACATTCTAAAAATGACTTGTAATAAAATCTCCAACTGGTTTCTATAGACTAGTGATTTTTTTTTTCCATTTTGCAGCTAAATTGTCCCCAGTTAAACAGGCACAGCTGAGGAATTTCCTAGCCAAGAGGAAGACTCCACCTGTGAGATCCACTGCTCCAGGTAAACCTTTGATACATTAGGAATCTGAAACATGCAAGTCTTCCCCCAGAACTTGTTAATATCCTGCCTTATCTGTAGAAGGAAACATTCCTACCTTAGCCCCTTGTATTCATCACTTCCCCAAATAATGGGCTTCTGTTGAACTAGTTCTAGCTAAAAGCTTCCTTTCCCTGCTCAGACTAAAATAATGAGCATTCCTTTTAGGTGCCAGTCCTCAAAGTTGGCCGCCTTATTTTCAGTAACAATAGTGCTGTTTGCTAAACTGTTAAGAAAAGGAACCTAAATACCAAATGGAGGCAAAGTTAGAGGGCATCCCTAATTCTTAACTGTTTTCTTCATACTAGTGTTGGTTATTTCTGTGTAATGCATCTACACTGCGAAAATACAAAGAAGGCTTTTATAAGCCCTTTCACAAAAACGGAGAGTAAAACTAGTTGTGAACCATGATCACGCAAAATACTAAATATTTAGACGTTATTTAAGCTTGACTAAATTCTAAATATCTCTTTATGGCAGAGTGGGTGAGTTATTTCTAGCACCTAGGAGCTACAATCATGGACCAGGACCCCTTTGTGCTAGGTGCTGTACAAATACAAACCAAAAAGGTGATCCGTGCTCCAAAGAGCTTACAATCTAAGGCATGGGAAGGGCATCATTAAGCTTTGTACTGTACATGTATATGTGCAACCCCCCCCTACACACACACACACACACACACACACACACACACACACACACACACACACACTACTACGTT